AAGCCTAACGAAGTCAGCGCTTCAATCTGGACACGCTGCTTCTGATGCTGAAGTGTCCGAAGCTTCTCTGGATCTGAAGCATGGTCCAAAGCATTGCATAGCCCTAGTGGGAAGCAATCCATTCACTGGGAAGTAGAAGTGTATATACTACGTAGCAGGTTTTACTGACCTAAAGACGACTTGTCCAACCCAGCCCATCTCCTATTGACCCAGCTGTAGTGGTGATCTTAGGACAGATCTACGAGAGAGTGGTGGGACCACATTGCTTTGTGGACATGGGATGATGAGCACTGGTGGCAGATTGTCCACATGGGGCATGTCTACACAAGATATTTACTGTGCAGTCGACTAATTAGTAAACATCTTGGCATCTACATGTCCGCCTCTATTAGGCTGGAGTAAACTAATTTTTAGTTTGGCACTGAAGCTCCCTTATGCCCCAGCCAGCCCCTCCACAGCACATTGAGCCAGGGAGAGCAGCTGTGGGTTGGCAGGCTGACCCCCAAGCCTCCTGCCATCTGGGGCTGCTCCGCTCAAGCTCCACATGCTGCACATGAATAAACTGTGGACCTTATTGCTCCAGAGTGAATTGCTCTTGGGCACACATTCAAATGGTGTGCCCAGGAGCAATTTTAACTCTGGAGCAAGAAGCTCTGTTTAGTCGTGTGCTGTAATTGTACATGTAGATGTGCTCATGAAGAGGCACACCTTCATGGGTATATACAAGGAGCTTCCTCATGTCATAACAGTGCAGTAGTAGATTGCCATCGCAGCCTGGAAACTGGCTACACCAGACTGCACCAGGACTATGATGAACCAGTGTGGTATTGGCAAATCAACTGTTATGGTAATGGTAGTAGAGGCTTGCGAAGACATGTGGAGAATATTTTTTACTTGTGGGCTGCTTGCATCAGAGAGATGCTTGGAATAATAGCTTGCTTAAGATTGGTGGGGCTTGAAGGACCCTGCAGATACTTTAACCCCAAGGAATAGAATTCCCTAATCCTGCTGGACCTGGTGAACTGCTGGGGAAATAGCGCACATACCAACTGTAGCTGCACAGGCAAGATGCTCTCAGCACCAGGGTTCTGAGGACAACAAGTGCTTACTTGTTTGGACAAACTGGAAACTTATTGCCTCTCAATGGCAAGGTCATCAAAAGGGTATGGGTACCAACCTGCATTAATTTCTGTGGCATGACACTGACCCTTTCCTGCTGTGTCTTATGAAGCAGTGCCCAGACAACATGGGGCCACATAGAACATAGCATTGCACCACTGAAGAATGGCAGAATGGTGGTTCTGTGTGCAGTTAAGAGGTTGAAGGGAACATGACCCTGCCTCCAGAATTAGTTGGACAACAGCATTGGAAATGCATGTGCACTTGTAGCCTGCTGCAGTCTGCATAAGGTCTGCAAATGTAGCGATGAAACTGTACCTGGAGACGACGCAGGGCATTGCTGGGCTTGGTCGTCATTTCCCAAAGCCAGAAAATACCCAAAAACCAGCATGGGTTCAAAGCAGGCTAGGGAAACAAGAGATGCCATATGTGCTTGCCTTGCTGCACACATCCTGAGTGATTGCCTGCTTGCCAGTGCATGTGCTATTTTTGTGGTGTGCAGATTTCCAATTATGGTAATTGGTCTTCTGGCCATTCTGTGAGCCTTTGTCAATGTGCTTGGGACATCTTGATCCAACCAGAGTGGATGATGAAACAGTGCTGTCTACTCCCAGCCAATCTCTGCATTAAATGGAGTGCTTCTTTCAGTCATGCCTTTCATCCCCTAATGATTTTTGATGGTTTTGGCAAGTGGTTCAATGTATCAATTGCTTGTCTGTGCTTGCTTCATTTGGGCCACTTGGTCCTGGATGAGTTAAGGGCTGTTGTGGGTGGGTGAAACCTCTAGTCATGTCACTTTCCAGGCTGAGGCTTCTGTGACATTTTGGCCCTTTCTGGAGTCTTTGGGATTTTGTTGGTAGGTAGACTTGTTAAATTATGAGCCTTTGAATGCCAGTTACTTCAGGGCCAGTTAGCTCTGGAGGGTGGACGGGGAGGATTTCTCATCGTTTCCCTGCCTGTGTCTGGATCACTAGGCAATGAAGTCCTCAGTGTCTTTGGTGTGCCTTTTATTGCTCATTACTGCAGCCCAGTTGGCCTAGGAAGAGCATCCTGGGCAAGGGTAGCACAGTTAATACTTTTGTGCATTTCCCTGCCAGCAGCTATGTGCAACTGTAGGCACTGAGTTGTGCATTGTGCATAGGATTTAAGATTTTCTATTTTACAGTGTGTAACAGGAAGCCTAGGGCCCCTGCTATTTTAAGAGGAAAAAGCAGTAGTAGACAGCACTTGGAGAGACAAACAAAGGCTAGCTGCAAAGGGATAAGTAGCTAGAGGCTAAAAGCTGAGTGTGCCTACTGCTGTGTTGGTAACACAGCAACAGTATAGTAGGACAGAGTACTGCTGCAGGTCACCTGACCAGAATTGGGCAGAGCTGGAGCGGCATATAACCAAGGCTTGAGCCCAGGTAGTCAGTCTGGCTCTGGAAGCTGCAGAGGGAAGAACTTTGCAGGGAGAGGGCTGTAGTGGTAGCAAGCTGGCTGTGGCTGAGCTAGCACCTGGGACACTGTTATGCTGGGGAACAGCAAGTACGATGCTGAAAGCTGGCAGAGAATGAGGACCAGGATGTGTGGGGGCTTGATATGCAGCCAGTGTGCTGAGAGTTTAGTTAGGGCCAGAGCGCTTAAGCTTTTCATATGAGTTTTCCCTGGCCGTTTGGTTGGGACTAGGTAGGGGTGGTTTGGAGGTCCCATTACTTCTCAAGGGGCATGTAACTGCCTTGAGCCCTGCCAGGGGTCAGGCTTAAGGGCCAGGGAGCCCAACATTGCCCAGGAAAGGCAGAAATAGGACTAGAGAACCCATAGCCCAGGGAGGGGCAGAGCTTGAGGCCAGGGAGCCCACAGCCTGGAAGAGGCAGAGCTAAAAGCCTAAGAAGGCAAAACAAGGACTGGAGCCGAAAAAAGCCAGGCCTGGTATAATCGGTCTAGGCCAAGCGGACCAGCCAAAGCAGTGGGGTGGAGACAAGAAAGACCAAGGCCCCAACAAGGGAGTGGAGGTCTAAGGTGGTTTGGGGCAAAAAAGAGCCCACCTAAGTAATGAGTGGAAATATCTGCAAGGCATGGGCACAGCTGTAGGGGAGTTATGGAGGCCATGGTTAGTCAATGAAGCAATGGGTGTCCTTGGGAGGCACGTGGGCCAGGGAGGCCCACATAGCAGGATCCAAAAGAGAGAGGTTACAGCTCACTCTAAGATCTGTGGGAAGCCTCACTTTTCAAGTTTTATTAACTAGATAAAGGTGTGGCAGGAGAGAGCAAAGGGAGGGCACTTTAGAGTGGAAGGGATGCAGGGGTGAGTTGCCACCAGGGTCATGTTATAGCCACCCCTGGTGAGCTGGTCCTCTTACAAGTGCTTTAATGAGATCTTTTTACAAGGCCCACATTTTCCCTTTTCACAAGAATTGGGCAGTAAACACACAGCAAACAGCTTAGCAGGTAGAAAACTTAACTGAATGAACAACACAAATACATTGTTGATGGTTCCCAAACAGTAGTAATCCAACCCAAATAAATAAGGCTAAATAGCTAAAACTGACCAAATGAAAAAAACAAAACAAAACAGGTTAATTAAAAAAAAAATTAAATAACCCAACAAACAAACTAATTGTTACTATGTACAAAGTCCCAGAAAACAGTAAATTAACTATGTGCAATGTGTAACCAGAAAAATAAAAAGTTAACTGTGTGCTGAGTGCAACCATAAAACAAGGAACTGCAGAGAACAGCTGTTGAACAAAAATTAACTTTAAGCGACTAGCCACAAAACAATAAATAACTAAACTAAACTGCAACCAGAAAAGGGGAGAGGGAGGAGATGGGGTTGAACTTACAGAGTAGCCAGGAAAAGTACTGGAAGCTATAATATAAGGCTGCATCCTGAGGTGCAAGAGCATAACTTGAGCATTAGTGGTTGTGATGCTTGTTGCCTGCAGCCCCCACTTTGTATTTCCCCTCCCAGGCCTCTTCTGGCTCCTGTCATGCTGCTGGAGTGCAGGTGAGCGGTAGGAGATTGACTGTATCTAGGGGGAATCCAGGATGCTGCCCGTGTCATCAACCCAGTTCTCCCAGATCTCGTAGGTGGGAAAGAGCAGATCAGGGCTGCAGTCTCCCCACCCCCGCCAACCGCCCCCAGTTCTGCCAGACCCCTCAGTGGAGGGAGCATCTGACCTAAGCTAGGCACTGCCACATGCAGGTGAGACCCACAACCACCCCAGTGTCTCTGTCTGTCTGGCAAGTTATTCTGCCTTCCTATCTCTCTGCCCTCCTCCTTCCCTCTAGCTCAGGGGCAAGCAATTATTTTGGGTGGAGGGCCACTTACTGAGTTTTGGCAAGCCATCGAGGGCTGCATGACAGGTAGCCCAGGGCAGATTAATATTAATTTTCTAAACGAGGCGCGGATAAAATGGCTGGTTGGCCCACATCGGGCCCGCGGGCCACATTTTGCCCACCCCTGCTCTAGCTCCTTCCTCCATCCTATTTCCCAGTCACTTGGAGCACAGCCCTCAAAGCCTCTGGCAGGAGTGAAGCCTGTGGGAGCCAGCGCCACTGCCCTGCACCACCAGGGGTGCAGGGCTGGTGTCCGTCCACCTGGGGAGAGCCTGGGTGAGCAGGCAGCGGCCAGTGCACCCCCCACCCATCTGGCTGCAGACAGCTGGAGGATGTTGTTGGGGTCCGCACTGCTGCCAGGGCTGGGTTGAGCATGCCGAACTCCTTAGGGCCCTGCTGCAGCTTCCCCAAGGGTGCTGCCAGGCAGCGCTCATTTTACAGCCCAATCACATCCACGCATGGGGCTGAAGGCAGGGCAGGAAATCATCCTACTTGTTGAGTAGCCTGGTGCAACACAGTGGAGGACACATTTGGTGGGGGATGCACCTCTACAGGTCCCAGGATTGGAGTTTGGGCCTGTACAAGGATCTGGGTCTATCCTTTGAATAGTACCAGCATTTGGGCCAAGGACCCTATGTGCTCTGGGGGCCGTGACTGATCAAACCAGCCCCCAGCTGCTGTAGGACTTCCTAGTCCTCTATCTGTCTGTGGCCTCCGTCCCCCAGAGGCATTCCGCTTCTCTGTCTTCTTGATCCTGCCTCTTGCACTCTTCCTGCTGCTCTGACAAGTCCCTGATTTAGAGGAATGTCTTACCCTAGTGCAGCAGTTCCACCAAAATGTTGTTGACAGCTTATTTCCTTCGTGGCCCAAACTGCAGTTTCTTGCAGTGAGGCTGAGGGGTGAAATCCTTGCAGACTGAGCTGTGTATGCCTTGGCAGGGCAAGGAAGTGTCTGTGAAAGTATGCACCAAGATGCCCCTCATACCTGTTTTTGAAATGTTAGAGCTGGACTCCCACAGGACTGCTGCCACCCAATGTCCAACTTTGTACCTTGTATTATAGCTGATCTGGTGTCTCTGCTTATCTTGAGGTGGCTGGAGGAAGAAATCTCTCTAGGAAGCACCAGAACATATACCAGTAATGGTGAGTTAATTTTCTGTTGCTTCTGCATTTAAGCATTACTTCTAGAAAAGGGATTGTGCTTTCTAGATGCAGCAGTTTGACTGTCAGTAGCAGAAGGGTAGAGAAGGACTGGGTTTTGAAAACCTGTCGGACCAGCCAGGCATCCCTGCATCTCTGGTTTTTGGGGTGGAAAACTCATTGAGGTCCCAGAATGGAAAAAAAGTTGCTCATCTTCCTGGGAAGAGGTAGGGTATCTTTAAAGCATGCATGGGACCTGTTCAGAAGCCTCATTGTTACACAGCACATATACAAGAGGACGGGTCTTTCTTTACTGAGATGGTTGAGTGTGGTTTGTCTTGCTCACTCATTTGACCAATTGGCTTATGTTTCTGCTGAATGAAAAATTGCCCCCTGAATGGGTTAGCATTGGAAATTCACTGGTAAGTTGCTTAAGCCAGTGTTTCTCAACCGGTGGGACGGGACGTGAAGGTGGTCTAGGTGGGATGCGGAGAAGTGGCGGGCTTGCCGCTGGCTCTTCTAGGTTTGCTCATCGATTGGCCGCTGGGGGGCCCCCCTTTCCCCTGCTCATCGTTTATCATGGTGGGACCAGGGTTTTTGGGACCAATGGTTGGTGGGACGTAAGGTTAGAAAGGTTGAGAAGCTCGCCGGTTTAAGCAACTCGAGCATGGACTGCACTTTCACTCCCTTGCCCTAGCAAAGTCACTGCTGTGGGGGAAAGGGGATTGCAGGAACTGTTTGGATTTATTTCCTATAGGAAGAACTGAATCGCCTCTAAAGCTGTATATGGATCCTTTGCTGCCAAAGATTGTTGACTTTCTTGCTTTTTGCAATGGCCTCAGCTGACAAGGGCTCTGTTTTAGCTGGTTTTGAGCCAAATGCCTAACAGCCCAGTCACTGACATTATGCAGTTCAAACCATCTTTTAAATCTCCCTTACAGATGAGGCCATATGGATGATCTTGTGACAGAGGTAGGAAGGGAGCACATGGCAGGGAGTGAGGTATCCTGGCAGAACAATCATGCCACCCCCTTTGGCATGGCTTTCTACAGAGATGGTACTGTTTGGGTTGTTGTCTTTTTTTCATTCTTCCCTGCTTGTCAGCAGGGAGCATATGGTGAGGAACGGGGGAAGAGAAGGCAAAATCCTGATATCACTTCCACTCTGAACAAAAGCTAGGCATCCCCTACAGAAGCCAAAATCTATCCTGATAGAATTGCCCTGCGGAAACAGAGCTGTCTCCTTGTTCCCATAACGGAGGAACTTACATGTCCACAGGGGGTAATGGAATTGCTCCTATGCAATTGTTGGGCATCTCAGAGTTGATCACAAGCTGTACTTTGGCTGTCCACTAGGTAAAATAAAATTCTGTTCAAAATGTACATGCATTGTAATGAGCCTCAGGCACTCTATCATTCCATCAAGAAAATCTTCCGGATGAAAAAATTGTATCCACCCAATTTAATATAAGTAGATATTTAGCATTTTGTAAGATTGTTTCATTGTCGGGGTTTAAAAAAATTTTTTTTTATTGTGAAACTGGATTATTTTCCTCCTGTGTAGGTTATTTCTCTTTCTTTATTTTTACAAGCACTTTAGCAAAACATTGTTGTTTTTTTTATCAGCAGTAGATATGTGAGAGAGAGGTGGGGGAGGATTGCTTAGTGACTGCCAACTCCAAAAGTCTGTATTTTGAATTAAATTACTTTTCACTTTAAAGCTCTGTTTTCCTAATTTCAGTTGACTGAGTCATCTTGAAAACTTTCTGACCTAAAATAAGAGAGAAAGCGTCTTGCCCACAGAATATATTTCCCTGTTTGTATCTAAACTTCATGAAATCTAGAAAATTATCAGGATCACAGAAGGTAATGAGATACAGGAATGATATAAAGAAGGCAATCAGAAAGGTCAGAAGCTCTCTTGGGACTGTGTTATTCTTATGAGCAACATCATATTTCTATTTTAATCATTGTAATGTTCCATTGGGTTAAAATAAATGTTGTCTTTTATTTTCCACAAGCCCCCTGACAAAATATTTGTTACCTGATGAAAAGAATCCACTTATTAGGTAAAATGGATTCTTCATTAGTCAAAATCCTTCATTTGTCAAAATTGTTTATTCAGAACTATTAGTACTTTTTGTAATACTGAAAGTATATGTGGATTTAAGAAAAAAGGTATTTTTCTGTCCAATAGCAGGTATGGATACATTGCAGATATGATAGTACCACAGACCAATGCATGTATAATTGATAGGCTCTTTCCCAAATTCCTCTATCCCTTGCACTCACTACTCTGGCTCTCTTTAAGCTCAATTTTCTACAGTCATAATGTCTGCCTATTATTTACTTGAGGAACCTGTGAGCAGTAAAATGGCTAATCAGACTGCTTTATATGTTTTCAACCACAATCTTGAACACCTTCAGTATATTCTCTAGGCAATTTACTGTTTTTCAACACAGTTATGAGAAAAGGAGATAGTTAACATAATAATGACCATTGCAGATGGTGTGCCAGATCCCAGTCTACTTTTGAATCCACCTAACTGGACTCAGGCACCTAAATGTGATCTGAATTCCTCCTGTTCAAGTCTTTAAACAACATCCACACACCTACTTCTATCATATATCCTCATCTTAGCTTCAAAACTAAATCAATCACAAGATGCCATGAGCGAGAAGGACCAATTTTTTATGTTAGTTTTTCTTCAGGGGCTTGAACAGGATGGAATAGGATTGCATTTAGGCATATAAATGAACTAAGTTACTGTAGGGAACGGCTTAATTTGTGATTTTGCAGATTTTGCTGAAATCATGAAATTGGGCATTGTGGGTGGGAAAAAAAAATTAGTAAAAGTATAATGCTGGCTCCCCAGTGGCAGTGAGTATCTGCAGCCCCTTGGGGGTGGGGTGTAGGGGAGCAGCCAAGATGGCACCCCCTTACCCCTGATTGGCTGAGAGGGTTGTCATGTGGCTCTGCCCCACCCCTCTCCACCATTCAGCAGCTACAGGCAGGGACACACAACAGGCAACCTCTCTGCCAGTCAGTGGTGAGGTGCAAAAAGGCTACAAAATGAGCTCTGCACAATGCAAGCAGCCCATGAAAAGCCCTGTCACTCTCTATGACTTAGGTAGATCTCAACTAAAAGGTGGAATAGGATCTGGCTCACTTTGTGGAACTTAACTGAGACAAGCTGACATGATACTGAATATGATTCATCCTTATCTACACTGACCTATTGGTGCTGACTCTGATTTGAAATTGTAATAGCTGAATTGTAATTGCTGCCAAGATGCTAGTACAGAGTACAAAAGGGCTAAAGGAAAAGGGAGTCGGATGCATTGGACACTATAGGTCTATTACTCTTTTTAAAGAAATATCAAGTTTGCAGCTTTGTTGTGCAATTAAACTCCCACTGGCTTAATTCGAGGTCCTGCTGAGTCACTGGATATTTTTACCTGAGGAAAAACTGCAGGGCTGGTCACTTTGAAATATCTACAACAGTTTCAATAAATGCAAAATAATACAACAATAACAGAGATGAAATGTCCATCTTATTCCTTCACACATCTTAAAATACACTAGTTATAGTGCAAATAATTATTGAAACAAATTATTTACAGAATACAGAAAAATTAAGCTTCTCTCCAGAAGAAAAGTACCTAACAAAATATAGCCATGGTCTTCTAGAGGGGAAAAGAGTTTTTAAGAAGTTAAAGTAGTCCTACCTACAGCACATCAGTCTCCATTCAGGACAATAGCATCATTGGAGCATGTATGAGTATTTTAAAGGCCAACTCTAGTGCCCACTGAACTCATGAGGAATCTTTCCACTGTGCAGTGATTTGGTCTCTAAATGAACCAAGCTTTCTATTTTCAATTGTCCATTGTCTCAGAGAAGCTGAGATGGAGGTAATCCATGCAGTCTGAGGAAAGCACGTGGCTGTGATCAGGACTCGGTAGTATAAAATGATGCACTGCTGTTTTTGCTTCTTTTTCTCTTACAAATAAACTTGTTATAAGATATTAAAAGCAACAACAATAATAGTATGTAGCTCTTATATAAATCTCTTTAAACAACCTTAACTTCAAGCTGGTAGTTTTGATTTGATAATGATCTACCAATATATTTTTCTTTCATACATAAATTTTAAATTTGCCTGTAAGAAGCAAGGCAGCATCCTCAATCAGCCATTTACACTGATGGATTTCTTAAACTACATGTGAAGGTGACTTGTTAAGAAATTAAACGTTTTAGAATTGGGAGCTCTGAGCACACTGAGATGTAACACAGAAGATATGCCTGTGGATGGAAGAGGAGAGCTGTCATTAGATCAGACGAGGTCCATCTGGTGTTGTAGCCTATTTCTGACAGGGACCAAAACTGGATTTTTCTGGGGAAGGTTGAAGACTGCTGAAATAAGATGTGGGATCATCTGTTCCTCTTACCACCCATGAAGTCTCTTCCTCATCCTTTATAGTAGAGACTGATATGCATCTGAAATATGAGTTGTAATATTCCTTCCAAAGTTTTGATAAGCAGTGACAAAGGAAAGGATGGGAGGGATCTGAAGGAAGGTAATGAAATTTGGAGGATGTTTACAAATAGGGCCTCCCATGCATGGGAGACAGCACAGGGCTGCTTATTTGAAAATCTAACAGGTGGATAATAGAGATTAGCAGGTGGTTTTATTCTGGGGCAGAACCTGACTCCTTGTACTTTCCTTTTTTGTGTCCTTGTGACAAGGTATTTAGCAGAATTCATAGATTCACTGGAATTAGGCATAGCCACATCACAAATACTTCTGCCATGGCCTTGAACTTACAACCTCTAGGCTGTCCACTGTGTACCGTAACACACACACCATCCCAGCCCCCTCCTTGTACTAAATGAGAGATGATAGTGTGAGGATAGTCTAAGAAGGGCTTTGAAAGTGAAGACACAGCATGTTTGATGTAATAGAAGAGGCAGGACCAATAGAAGGTTGCAAAGAGAAGTCACCATATCAAAGTGGTGGATTATTAGCGGCATTCTGGCATTTGTCAAGGCCAGAAAAAGGATATTGCAATAACTGAGATATGAACTGATGTGAGCATATATGAAAACTTCAGCTATGTGCATAGATAAGAAAGACCATATCTTAGAAATGTTGTCCAAAAAAATCTGCAGAGACTTAAATACAGCCCAGATGTAAGGCCACAGAAACCAGCAGCCAGTTTTCAGATCTCAGCATTTCAAATGAGGCACTGGCAAAGTTTTGCACAGAATTCACTAGCTAGACCGTGTGCTTCTTTCTTTTGCTAGGCCCTATATCAAGAAGTAGCATAACTGAGCATGCACCAGAGAGGTATCTACCCCAGGTGCCAGGTTAGGAATCATTCCACTACCCTGTAGAGTCCACACTCCAGCAGCATATCTATGCTAGGAACTCCAAAATAGCCCCTGGCTGCTGCTACTTTAAGAACAGCATCTGGAGTAAGCACAGTGTGCATCAGTGGTGGCAGCAGCTCAGCTGGGAACTGTTCAGGAGTTCCCAGCATGGGTATTGCTGCTGCCCGCTTTTCGCCCATGCTCTAAGAACCAGATACCCAGCCCTGTTTCTCCTGCAGGGTTTTCCCAGGGTGCTACTTCGGCTTGTTACACCATTAATAACAGCAGTTCCCAAACTAAATGTTACAACCCCAAGTGGGGTCAGAGCTCTTATGACTGGGCCACAAACTCCACAGGAACTCAATTAAAAAAGTTAGGTTTAGAACAGAAGAGGTGTCATGAGCCAAGCAGAACTGGGATTGTGAGTGGAAGTAGGTTTACAAATCATGGTAAAACAGGGATATTCTTCAGCAAAATGAAAGGAACAACAAACCAAAGCAAAGTTACGAAGAACAGAAGTAAACTAAAGCAGAGCCAAGAACTCCTCATTTGTCCACAGCAAAATGAAAAACAGAAATGCTGTTGGACTCTACCCATCTGGCATTTGTATATGATGCTAAGTATGACATAGTATTGATTTACCTTTATGGGGAAAAGAATTTCTCAATATTGCATATATTTATTTGATAAATTGGGAATGCTGAAAGCCAATACCAGGTTGTGGAGACTAAGATTTATCTCTCTTATTGTCATCCAAAACTAGTTTTTCATCTCTTGTGGAAGTGGTGTGAATTTACATTCTTGGATTTCATAAGGCAAGCTACAGCTTTGTGATAACTTACCAGAAATACTGATTTGCTTTTTAATACAAAGCTATGGGATATTCTAAGAATTCTGTGATGGTTATTTTGATGAAATATACTACATTCTGAACAGTAGTTAAACTCACCAGGGGGCAAAACTTGAAATCTGCGATTAAAAAAAAAACCAGTTCAAGACAGGAAAAATTTTCAGCAAGTTGGTGCATTTCATTTGAGTTAATTTAATGAAACAACAGAAACCACTAGAGATATAAAAGACAGTGTGGGGCAGAGCAGTATTATACATGTTTATGTATTATACACCCTAGCAATTACAAAATGTTCCACTTGAGCAAATGTAAGCTATTTTATCTAAAGAGATCTGCGCTACTGCAAGAATTGATGAGAAAGTTTCAGTATAAAAAACCAATATATCTTTGCTATCGCCCAAATTTTAAGAAAGAAAATATGCATGGTTCGTATGGAGGATTTCTGCCATGATTAGAGACTA